TAGGCATTTGTCTATTTCGTTGAGGTTATTCAATTTGGTGGCATAGAATTGCTCATAGCTCTCTCTTATAGTCCTTGTCATTTCTGTAGAATTGGTAGTACTGTCCCCACTTTTATTTCTGATTTTAGTAATTTGAGTCATTTCTCTCTCTCTCTTTTTCTTTATTTAGTCCCTCTAGCTAAAGGTTTGCCAACTTTGTCGATCTGTTTGAAGAACCAACTTTTGGATCCACTGATTTTCTCTATGATTTTTCTATTCTTTATGTCATTTATCTCTGCTTTAATCTGTATTACTCCCTTCTGTTAGCTTTGGGTTCAGTTTGTTCTTCTTTTTCTAGTTCTTTACGTTGTAAAGTTAGGTTGTTGACTGGAGACTGTCCCTGTTTTTTAATGTAAGCGTTTGTACCTATAAATTCCCCCTTAGCTTGGCTTCACTGTATCCCATGTTTTGGTGTGTTGTGTTTCGTTTTCATTCATCTCTAAGTATTTTCTCATTGCCCCTGTGATTTCTCTGTCGGTCCATTGGTTGTTTAAGAGCATTGTTTAAATTCCACCAGTTTGTGAATTTTCCAGTTTTTCTTCTGTGTTTCATTTCTAACTTCATCCCATTAGGACCGGATAAGATATATTGTGTGATATCTATCTTTAAAATCTATTGAGACTTAATCTGTGGTCACCCATATGGCCTGACCTGGGAAATGTCCCACGTGAACTTGAGAAGGTCGTGTATGCTGTTGTTGGATAGAGTGCTCCATTTATGTCTGTTAGATCTAGTTATGTTCTTCCAAGTCCTCTATCTCCTTATTTGTTTTCTGTCTGGTTGTTCTAGCCATTATTGAGAGGGGGAATTGAAGTCTGTAAGTATTATCACGGGATATTATATTTGAATTGTCTGTTTCTCCCTTCAGTTCGAATGGGTTTTGTATTATGCATTTTGGGGCTGTCTTCTTAGGTGAATATATGTTTGCAACGATTATATCTTCTTGCTAGATTGACCCTTTTATCATTATAAAATGTTCTTTCTTCTCTCTAGTAACAATTTTGGCTGGTATTTTCCCCCTTTGGCTTCCTTTGAGATTTTATCTTTGCTCTTTATATTTTTTCCATTTTGAATGTGATATACCTAGGTGTCGATTTTTTGGGGTACTTAACCTGCTTGGTGTTCTCCCAGCTTCCTGTATCTACAGGTTGGTGTCTGCCATTAATTGCAGAAAATTCTCAGCCAATATTCCTTCAGATATTTCTTCTGTTCCTTACTGTCTTTCTTCTTTGGGTATTCCCATTGTGTGTATGTTGTACCTTTTGTAATTGTTTATAGTTCTTGGATATTCTGTTCTCTTTCGCACTCTTTTTTTCTCTCTCTTTGCTTTTTGATCTGGGGTGTTTCTAATGAGATATCTTCAAGCTCACTGATTCTCTCCTTGTCCATGTCCACTATACTGAGCTCATCAGAGGCATTCTTCACGTCTGTTACCATAGTTGTTTGTTTTTTAATCCCTAGCATTTCCTTTTAATCCTTTCTTAGCGTTTACATTCCCCTGCTTACATTACCCACCTGTTTTTGTACGTTGCCCACCTTTCCAATTAAAGCCTTCCTTTGAGGGCAGGCTTTGTTAAGGACAACAGAAGGCTCTGGGTGTATTTAAAAATGGTTACTTTTTCTGCTCCCCCTGCTGGAAGCATGAGGGGATTTTTCTCCAGCCTTTACCCTAAAAACCTGGGGGTGGGGGTGGGGGGCTCCTGAAGGTTAAGGCTGTGCCCCCGGGAGCCTCTCTCTCATGCTAGTTCAAGCTCAGTCTCCAGCAGCTGGTCATTGACGGCAACCTCAGAAAGTCTCTGTCTGAACAGATGGGTGCTGTTACCTGAAGAAGGTGAGTTAGGTCTTGAGCAGGCAAAAGTGAGAGGGTCCTTACAAAGGTCCAGTTCTAATGGCAAACCTAGCGCTCCTCCCCTTCTCAGACAGGGGCAGGCTTCCCTTCTCCAAGCATCTTGCTAACTGGGGAGAGGAGAGGGCCCCAGAGTGTGGGTGTGGGGAAAGAGGGCTCAGGGATTCATGTTCTCTTTCCTCTAGATCCCCGTGTCCACGTGTTCCAAGGACTGTCAGCCTGGGCAGAAGAAGAAGGCCGTGGGCATCCACCCCTGCTGCTTTGAGTGTCTTGACTGCCTTCCTGGCACCTTCCTCAATGCAACAGCAGGTGCGACTCACAGGCCACACCCCTGCGGTGCCCTAACCCTGCCCTAGGGGTCTCCAGGTCCCTTCCCCTTGGGCAGGGTCTCTGGGGTCTTCCCGAGTTTCCAAAGGCCAGGGACCCAGTTTGATCCCACTGGTATCTCCCCAATATCTGGTGTGGAGAAAAGTCTTCATTGAGGGTTGGTTTAGGGAGGGTGGGAGAAGGAACAGCCCTCAACCAGGCAGGGCTGTAACTGATCCCCATCCACACACATGTAGCCCATGGCCCAGGGGTGTCAGGCCAGGGAAAGTCTGCTGGATGAATGAATGAATGAATGAATGAATGAAGAAAGGAAGGAATAAATGGCTCCGCCGATAGGAGGAACATTTCTGGCAAACAAGCACAGTATCTGATTTATCCCTCTGGTTTCCCAAGTGCCTAGTGTAGTTCAGAGTATATAATAGTTGCTCGGTGAATATTTCTTGAATGACTTTTCTGATTAGAAGAATAAACATCCCTCCCTATAGAACATAAACTCCAAGAAAATGGGAACGGTGTCATCTCTCTGTCCACATTCATGTTTCGCACAGTTCAGAGTCGGGGCTCCAATTGTTTTCTTCATGACTTCACTGATTAGTAAATTAAGTAGATGCATATGTCCACCAATCAAAGTGCAGCAGAGCACAGGGCACAGAGTAGATGCCCCATAAAAGTTTGTCAAATGGTCTCACTGGCCCTCTCTTCCCGACTGGTCAACAGCCTGAAGGCAAGCGGCTAGGTACCATCCTTCTCTGTGGTCTCCCGCCTCCGGTGCCTATCACAGTGGATGGTGCTCAAAACCAATCTTTGTGGAATGAATTCTTTGACTAAATGGTTGAATGTCTCTCCCACCAGAGAGTGAGCTCTTGGGAAGAAGGAATTGTAGTTGTTAGGCTCTGAGTCAAGGAGACCTCGGTTCAGGTCCTGCCTCTGGAATTTACCAGCTTTGTGACCTTACCTGGCTGAACCTCAGTTTCCTTTTCTGTGAACTGGGATTGCTGTGATGATTGGATGAGCCAGTGGGTATAAGGGACTCAGTGAGTATTGGCTGTGACTGCAGGGCTGCCCTTAGTTCTCTCTCTCTCCACCCCTGGGGCAGTGCAGGCCCAGAGGAGGTAGTTGCTGGAACGGTGGTTTTGACTGATGAGAGACGCTTGGGCTCTTGCAGATGAATTTGAGTGCCAGCCCTGCCCAAGTGACAAGTGGTCCCACAGAAAAGACACCTCCTGCTTCAAGCGGCAACTGGCCTTCCTCAAATGGCAGGAGGTACCCACCATCCTTGTGACCATCCTGGCCGCCCTGGGCTTCCTCAGCATCCTGGCCATCCTGGTCATCTTTGGGAGACACTTCCAGACGCCCATAGTTCGTTCAGCCGGGGGTCCCATGTGTTTCCTGATGCTGGCGCCGCTGCTGGTGGCATACATGATGGTCCCAGTGTACGTAGGGCCACCCACGGTCGCCACGTGCCTCTGCCGCCAGACCCTCTTCACCCTCTGCTTCACCGTCTGCATCTCTTGCATCGCCGTGCGCTCTTTCCAAATCATCTGCATCTTTAAGATGGCCTCCCGCTTCCCACGTGCCTACGCCTACTGGGTCCGCTACCACGGGTCCTACGTGTTTGTGGCGCTCATGGCAGCGCTCAAGGTGGTCATCGTGGCAGTCAGCCTGCTGGTCACCAACACCAGCCCTACCGCCCACGTGGACCCCGACGACCCCAAGATCATGATCCTCTCCTGCAACCCCAACTACCACAAGGGGATGCTGTTCAACACCAGCCTGGACCTGCTCCTGTCCATGATGGCCTTCAGCTTTGCCTACATGGGCAAGGGGCTGCCCACCAACTACAACGAGGCCAAGTTCATCACCTTCTGCATGACCTTCTACTTCATCTCCTCCGTCTCCCTCTGCACCTTCATGTCCGTCTACGAAGGGGTGCTGGTCAGCATCCTGGACCTCTTGGTCATTGTGCTCAACCTCCTGGGCATCAGCCTGGGCTACTTTGGGCCCAAGTGCTACATGATTCTCTTCCACCCGGAGCGTAACACGCCAGCCTACTTCAACAGCGTGATCCAGGGCTATACCATGGGGAGGGACTAGCGCTGCCCACTGGGACAGAGGGCCTCGGCGCTTGTTCAGCTCCACGCGGGTGGGAGAAGCCATCCCTGATGATCACCGCCTTGCCCCAGTCTCTGATTTGGCATCTCTCCAGGGTTCTCTGCATCCTGGCCGTTGTTACCCAGCTAGTGATCGATGCCTAAAAATATTCACACGTTGTTCCTTTCCCTCGAGCTGTTTAGCTTGCCAGGCACTGCCACCCCATTCTAGAAAACAACAACAACAAAACGACCCAAGGTGGCCTATTGGTCTCCAAAGCTGGAGTCTGATTTAGCAGCCTACCGTCGCCATCTGGTGGTCACAGCGGGTATCTGCAGGTTCCGGCTCATTTCCTTCTTCACCAGTGCTCATTGGCTGAGCTGGGGTTGGTGTAGGAGGATGTCATTCACGTGCCTGTGTCTCATCTCCAGATTCCCCCAGAGCTCGGACCCATGCTTCTGTGTTATTTCTGAGTAATGGATGGCACAGTGGGTACTTCTTAAATGCTCGGAATAAACCTCACTTGGGTGAAATAAATGAGTTTCCTTCTTGTCCCCAGAGGTCCCTGCGAAAGAGTCAGAGGCATCAGTTTGGACCCCAGCATTGTCACTTCTGAGCTGTGTACCTTGGGCCAATTATTTACAGCCCCTGAGCCCACACTTCCCCACCTCTAAAATGGGGACAACAGCTGCTTCACAAAGACATTTCAGGGTTAGAGGTAATGTGTGTAAAACGCACATAGTAGGTACTCAGCAAGTGCCAACCATTACAAAGCCACATGACCCTGGAACCATCAAGGGCAAAATAAGGTTGTGTTTCCTTTTTCTTATACCCAAACGACCACGGTATACACTCTAGTCCATGGTGCTGGTCTCCGCTGGGAATCAGCCCCACCCCAGCAAATTCTGGGTGTAGTCTTGGGGGTACTTGGGCCTCATGCATGCTCTGGAGCCAGCATGTACCATGGCACTGTCGCCTTGGCGTTGCCAAAACCTGGGGAGGCAGTGCTTCTGGGCTTGGCTGTGCCCATGCTGACCGCCCCCCCCCTCCAAAAAAAACCCCAGCAGGCTCCTGGGGCAGGAGGGGCCCTGACTTTTCTGTCCAGGGGTCAGGCCTGGCTTCCCATAGCTCACCAGGGAGCCAGAACTTCAGTGCCAAGGCCTCCAAACTGCTGCACAGAGAAGTTAAGTGTTCAGGTGCACTCGGTTTGCAGGTGGGAGAACAGGGGCCTGAACCCGCACTCAGACGGAGAGAGAGAGAGGCACCCTGCAGAGTCCGTCACTGCGGTGACCCTGTGGCTGTCTCAGAACTCCCCTGGGGTGATTTATAGTTTGGCCAGCACCAGCCTGGCAGGAGTCATGGCCATAAGCTTATTTGCAGCTGAGAGAGCAGGACTGTCCCCTCCTTGTGCTGAATTTCCCTTTCACGCTTAAAGACGGTGGGTGATGAGATCTTGGCTTGAATCACCTGGGATTTGGGGAAATGACCTTCTTATTTGGGGCCACTTCTTCATGATGGCAAGGACAGCCCCTGCTTCTCTTCTGCAAGCCTCTTTCCAGAGCCTGGCGCTAGGTGCTCTAGGAATGTGGATGTGACAGCGAAGTCCCTGTGAGATTCCTTCACCTTCTCACCACCCATCCCCCCAGACCATCACATCATTAATTCAGTTCATCTCCCACGGCCTTGCGTGCGGGGTAATGAGAAGCATTCAGAAACACAGAACAAATGTTTGTGCTTATCATCGATGAGGAGAACAGCTAACATTTTTTGCCCTTCCTTAGAACTTTGCTACTTTATCCATTTCTTCCTCACCAAACTCTCTTAGTCGGGTATTGTTAGGATCCTTCTTTTACAGATGGGAAGAAAAAGGGACTCAAAGTGGTTATAAAACTCCCCCAGTCCCGGGCCAGCTGAGTGGTGCGTTGGTTAAGAACTGGCTTGGGACGCCAGAGGCCCCGGTTCGGATCCCACATACGAGGGCCAGTGACACTGCCCTCTGCAGCTAAGATGGTGAACGGCAGCTCGACCTGGGGCTGGGCTGCCGTGGATCGCCGGTGGGTCACCGGTGGGTCACCGGTGATGGCGTAGGCTGCAGTCCCCTGTNTTGTTCCGCCCCGTGGGAGCTGGACCCGGGGGTATTCTAGCTGTTGGGGACACAGCTCTATATCCCAGCCTTTCATTCAATGCTTATACTTCATCCTCAAGAGCAGTGCCCCCCACCCTAGGGTGTTGTCCCCACATCGGTACCTTAGATGAACCTTTATATGCCATCCCATCATTTTATTAGGTTGGATACTTCTGGGTGATGTGGTATATGTTGGGATCAGTGGAGGTGCCCATGGCAGACCCTCTTCACCATAAATTGGGCCCCTTGTCTGAGTTGATATTATAGGGGACACCATGTCACTATGTCACCCAGTCTGTGAGTCCTTGGATGGTGACACTGCACCACAGTCAGGGAAGGCAAATTCTTGCGAGGATGAATCAGTTCTCCTTCCAGGGAAGAAAGGATCTGAGGTGATAGATCTGCCAGCTGTGGGTTGGCTGGTGTTCTTGCGGGTGGAACCAATCAAGGGCTCAGCATGGTCTCTGCTGCTGGAAGGTTAGGTGTTCAGCCACGGCAGCAGCCAGGCCTACCACGCAAGAGGAGGCCCATATTTTTCTTTAAATGTCTGGTAGAATCCACTGGTGCAGCCATCAGGTCCAGGGCTGTTCTTTGATGGGAGATTTTTGATGACTGATTCAATCTCCTTACTAGTTATAGGTCTAGTCAGAGTTTCCATTTCTTTGTGATTTAGTCTTGGTAGGTTTTGTGTTTCTAGGCATTTGTCTATTTCGTTGAGGTTATTCAATTTGGTGGCATAGAATTGCTCATAGCTCTCTCTTATAGTCCTTGTCATTTCTGTAGAATTGG